CTCTCTCTCTCTCTCTCTCTCTCTCTCTCTCTCTCTCTCTCTCCTTCTTTCTTTTAATAAAGTTTTATTGTTAATTAATTTTCTACTAATCACATAGAATCTAGTTGTGCGAAGTAAGTTGTAGATCTATGTGTACGATCTTCTGCTTAGGAAACACAGGTGACTCCATCCATCTAAACTTCCGGGTTGTTTAATATAATTTTTCTCGTTTAACCCCTTCACAGTGGGCAATACTTCAGTGAATCAGTATTCAGTATTTCCTCTTGTTTGTGTGCAGCTTTCACATTAAAATCTATTATTTTATACAACAATACCCACATTTCAACCGAAATGGGAGACTTTCACAAAATTCGACCTTTCAAGGTAAAATCCCCAAAAGTGCCCACTTGTTGACTTGTTGTCTCAAACTCAAACTCAAAGAAGCCGTTGACAATTTTATTGTTTTTCATTCATCAATAAACAATTCATCAGATCACAGCCAGTTGCCTTTGATCACATTGTTTAAAATCGTTATTTTGCTTTGGAAATGCCATCCAATATGATCTCAGTATAATCTATGCTACTGTGGTTTAGATTCCAGTAGATAGATTAGTCTATTATAAGATCTTTCTTTATTCTTTGAGCTAAAGGCTACTAAAGGCTAAGCTTTTTAAAATCATAATCTGCCTGATGAGAGATTCTCTTCAATGAATAATGTCGTGATGAATGCTCCTAGTCATGCCTTGTGCCTTTTGACTTTTGTGTGTGTGACAGTGTCATGAGCCATATGGTTACATCACCTGTTGGAGATAACTCACTGACTAAGTAGGAAGTGGCTAGATCCTCACCCGGGGTGAGAATAGAAATACGATTGACCTCTCACCCCGGGTGAGACTTGCCACCGTTGGCTATTCTCACCCGATGTGAAGAAACAAGACCTGTTTTTCCTAATTTCGCAATACTGTCTCGGTGTGGATGATCAAATGGAAAGGAAAGAAAAAATTACGTGTATAGCATAGCACAAAAGTAAGCTAATTTGATCGTCTACAAAGATGCTGGCTAATTCACTTTTCGAATCGAGCCAAACTACGCGGGTCGCCATTTTGTTTTGCCTGGAAGTTCTCTCAAGATCTACTCCTCCCCTCTTCTCTCTCTCTCTGTCTCTTTCTGAAAACACTGTCTTCAGTGTGGACGATCAAATTGACCAAAACAAAGTTAAAAAATTATGTTTAAACACAAAAGTAAATTAATTTGGTCGTCTACAAAGATGCTACAGCTATTTGACTTTTCAAATCAAGCCGAACTACGCGGGTCGCCATTTTGTTTTGCCCGGAAGTTCTCGTGCTACTATTCTCTCTCTCTCTCTTTCTCTCTCTCTCTCTCTCCACTGCCCACAGACAAAATTGTACACTTTTAGGCTAACAACAGTAGTAATGGAACGTTTGTTCACGGCACAGAATTCTACCATTTTTCTGTTATCACAGTGTAAAATTCTGTGGTTCAGGGTGAACGCAAAATTGGTTGGCCTAGATCTAGGCTATAACGGTGAACGCACACCGGGTGAGAATAGAAGCCAAAAGACTCGCCTGCGCTATTTTCACTCGGAGTGAGAATAGAGGTGGCCGACTAAATGGCTGAGACTAGACAGACAATTGTAGCAAACGTCCCATGTTTGTAGTTTGTACTAACAATTAACAATAGACAAATAAATGGCATTAAATATTTTTCGGTAACGGTAACGGAGAAAACTAGTTTTATTAATCTATAGACCTAAAAGCGACCTCTATTGTGAGAATAGCGCAGTAATAGGCCTCTTGGTGAGAGGGAAAATCTTCTGGCTGTTCTCTCCCAGTGGGCGTTCAGTGTGATGATGCTTGTGCAAACAAACATTCCAGAGCACTTGTGTTGAAAGTGTGCAATTTTGTCCACGGGCAGTGAGAGAGAGAGAGGGGAGGGGGGTGGGGAGGAGGAGGAGAAGGCGATAGGGACAGAGAAAGAGGAGTAACGATAATTTCTGGCAAAACAAAATGGTGACCAGCGTAGTTCGGCTCAATTCAAAAAGTGAAATAGCCGTAGAATCTTTGTACAACCAATTTTTTTTGCTTTTGTGCTATACCATAATTTTTTTCTTTGTTTTTGTCAATTTTATCACCCACACTGATAGACAATTCATAAATTAGGAAAATCAGGTTTTGTTTCTGTAGTTTCACACCGGGTGAGAATAGCCAAGGCTGGCAAGTTCACCCGCGGTGAGAGGTCGATCGTAATTTTTAAATTCTCACCCGGGGTGAGAATATACACTTCCTTCTATAAAATTCTTTTCTCGGGAGGACTTCCGTGATGAGCGACCACCGTGAAGATGAAGGGTAAGGGTTAACTCACTTTGAGCATTTGAGCTATTTTTCAACTAAAAACCATTGCAGCCTGATACTTTTGGGGTATATTGAAACATTTACCACAAAAAGACTGTCTATCATGATTTTTTTAAAAGCAGCAAAAGAAAGAAATGCTCTTAAAGAAAAAGAAAACTGCATCTAATTTGTCCAAATAGTTTTTATTTTATCAATAGGAAGAGGCTAGCCGTACTTAATGACGGCTAGACTGCTAGGCTAGCTGTATTTAATAATGATGGCTAGACTGACAAACAGCAAAAAATGGACCCACTGAATTGTAAATACATTTTTAGTTTGCAATACCTAAAGTGTTTGTATTTGTACGAAGCCTAAGGGTGCCTTACTGACAGTGCATGTATTTTAAACCTGAATTTATATCACAAATGAGACCCATGTACTCAATAGGTTTCGGTCAGTAGGGCCTAAGCTAAGTACGGCTAGGCTGACAGGCTAGGCTAGGCTGACAGGCTAGTCTAGGCTAGTCCAACTTGATAATCATGGCTGAATTTTGTAAATAAATTGTTAGTTTGCAATACCTAAAGTATTTTTGTATTTCAGACGAAACGAAAAGATGCCTTACTGACATGCATGTACATGTATTTTAAACCTGAACAATTACTAGATCTAATGAGACCTGTGTACTCAAAAAAGGTTTCGGTAAATAAGGCCTTTCCTAAGTACGGCTAGACTGGCAGGCTAGCTGTACTTAAGTATGTTATCTATATTTTGAAATGACAATGTCTAGGGGTTACATACATTTTTTTGGTCAAATTTTTATAACAAAAATCATTGAGATGCAGGGTTAACCGACTTACTTCATTACAGAGAAAAAAATGTTGCTCGTAATTTCACCAAATTTTTTTAACGAAATGAAACAAGTGGGTCAGCTGTTGGCTCGCCGCTTCTCGTAGGTAGCTTGTAACCGAAAAACACACGAGATATGATGATCAATAAAGCAAATCCCATAAATTCACGGGATTAGGCCACCAGACCAGCGGGGCATCCCGTAAATACACGGAAATAGTTTTTATTAAGTGAGTTAAGGTGAGGGTTGGGGCTAGGGTTTTGGTTTGTTTTGGTCGGGGTTGTTGTTGTTGTTGTTGTTAGCGATCCTGTAGCATCTGATCGTTAACTCTTCTGCATGATGCCATTCTGTAATAGCTGCATGTCTGTTCTAATTGTTGTTTTGGTTAGGGTTAGGTTAGAGTTAAGTTTTCTTCTTGTTGGAGTGGTTGCTCATATTGGAAGTCCTTCCTTTTTTTTTTCGTTTTTGATAGTGTTTTGCGTAGATATTCAAGTGAAGGCTGCTCAGACTAGTTTTTACTGCCCACTCTTCAAGGTGTTTTCAGTCGTTTGCACTTTAAAAAAAACTAAAGATGATCTGTAAGAGGGCTTCACATTACATTTTTCGAAATATTCAATGAATGGGCCATGCATAGAGGCTTTGTCATTTAAAATACCTTTTGAGAGAGCCCTTCCCTTTTGTAGACCAGACAAATATTTATATAATACATTTTTTTGTTTAGTTATCTGTATCAGTATTGAATGCTACTACTTGTTGTCAGGTTACTGACTGGCACAGTCAAGGACTTCTTAATCTGAGATAAAGAAAAGTCTCTTCAGTAATTTTGAACTTGTTTCTAGTTTAGTAAATTAGGTCTACTGTTTTTATGAAAAAGCTCTAGTCCTAGACAAAGGCTTGTTTATTTATGTATTTATTTTTTTGGGTAAGTGTTTTACAGCGTTCGCAACTGCTTAGGTCATATGAGTGTGTGGGACACAGTAGACTTAAATTTCGTTTATGCAGTTGCGAGCGCCGTAAAACCCTCTACTAAAACTAAACTAATAGACTTAAATTTTCAGTTTGGTAGAAATTAATTTTGAATTTTGCCTCGAAGCCTAGATTTTTTTCCCGCCCTTATTCGAGAAGGCTAAATGTTTGAGCTTACCTGCTGTAAGATCAGGGATGTGGCTGAAAGACAGCAGAAAGGAGCCAAGGAGTAGCAGTTAAGAAAGACAGCAGAAAGGAGCCAAGAAGGAGTAGCAGTTAAGAAAGACAGCAGAAAGGAGCCAAGGAGTAGCAGTTAAGAAAGACAGCAGAAAGGAGCCAAGAAGGAGTAGCAGTTAAGAAAGGCAGCTGAAAGAGTCATCATGAGCCTGGAGGAGGGGGCAAAAAGGGACGTAAGCATAAGACAACATGATTAAAGAGCAGGAAAGGGGACAGAAGAAAATTCTCTGTTGCTATCAGTTTCAGGTTTTGAACCCGGGATCTATTGAATGAAAGGCAAACACCATTTATGTATTTTGCGAATTGCATTGTGTATATTATTTTATTATGTGTATCATGTGCTCATTTTGTAAC